AACAACACTCATTGTTTCCGATTACTGTAGGGCTTGGCAGTGCTAAGCTAGACTTCAGGCTGGGTTGATTCCAGAAACTGTGGCTTCTGCAGGCATGTTCTTCTCATGGCAGGAGGCAGAAATGAAAGAGAGCAAGCCAAATCATGCAAACACTTCTAAGGTCTCTGCTTCCACTGCACCTCTTAACATTCCATTGGCGAAAGTCAGTTCAACAATATTGTTAGTCCAAACCTAAGACCAACAACAGTGAGATGAGAAAATGTCCATCTACTCTAATAGGAGAAAAATCACAAGGTAAAGGCTATGAATGTACAAATCCCTTACAGAGAGGGATTAAACCATTGGGAAAAACAATCCAATCAACCACAGAGCCCTAGGGGCCTCACCAAATTCAGAGGGCAAGTGAGGTTGGAAGCATCTCCGTATCACCTTCGAAAATGATATTCCTTAGTTTACTCCCATACGTATGTCTCAAAGCAGGCAGGAAAGAACATGGAATTTCAGCAATATTCCATGCAAGCTCTTTAGCAATATAACAATAAAAGTAATCACAGCTAACATTAATGAGTGCTTACCTTAGTCAAGAGTGTCAGATGCATGATTTCATCCAGTCCTTGGTTGATGTTATTATCATTCCCATTTCAGAGATGAGGAAACAGAGGCCAAGAAACTTGCCCAAGATCATAAAGCTTGCAAGCGGTTAAGCCAGGATTTGAGTTCAGGCAGCCAGATCTGGAGCCTGTGCTTTTAACCAGTATGATATTTTATATAGAGTGCCTGGACACACATGCCAGACTGCAGTGCTTCCATACTGGAGCAGAAAAGTGTGCCAAAGTCATGGAAGCACCACCAAATTTACATGTGATTCATATGGGCTCAGGGAACTAAGATTCAATTTGCCAAGAAAAGAAAATTTTTATTCTACTCCACTAAAATACCAAGAAAACTTGACTTTTTCCTCATAGCAACAGGTCAATATACCACATAGTTCAACCGTTGAATTTCAATCTTATTTAAATTCAAACATTCCTTGTCTGAAGAAATGCTACATGAATATATTTCGTTGATCAAAATAACTTTTCAAAGTTTCTAAGCCACCATGCCTTTCTCCTTTCTAGACTACGTAAAGCATCTGCTACACGTACCATCTCCTATGATACTGTAAAGGCCATGTTTTCAGTCAGGAAAAATGATCACAGAAATCTTCCATTTTCATTAGATAAGTATATTTAAGACTGTGTTCAATAAGTAATTTAACAACTAAGAAGTTTCTCCTTTATGAAGCAAGAATTCTAGAATGCAAATATACTTCTATCACATCCAGAGTTGCTAGTCTCTCCCTCCATGGTTATGGGGAGGTGCATTTTAATTACAGACATTCATTTCTTTGCAATTGTTTTCTGAGTTTAATGAATAATGAAAGTATTGTCATCTTATCAGAAATCACTAAGGACCTAACGTCAAAAGGCATGCTCCTGCAATAAGCAATCGTCTGCCAAGTGTCTCATTTGAAGATGAGTAAATGCTGCCGTAGGGGTTAAAGTCATGGGTCTGTCTGATAGAGTAGATGAAGAACCCACTGGAGAAAATTTAGAGGGTTACTAATAACACAAAACATTATCTAGATGTACCCAGTCAGTAAAACACAAGACATACAAGGTGAGAACATTTCTATTTTCAAAAAATACAATTACCTACAACAGACTGAAGGTTGAAAATGAAAGGGAAAAAAAGGACGCTGCCAAATGCCAACTATTTGAAAACAAGTTTGAAAAAGCAAAGTGTGATACGTCAGTCCAAACACAGACAATGAGGAGATGCAGACTATTTTCCATAATGCCCAGGGCACTTAAAACTAAGGAACAGTCACTCATGGAAAGAAGAAGGTGCTTAGTTTAAGTGTTTTTGTTTTTAACAAATCCTCACTTTCTCAACTAGTTTTCTGAGTGCTTTGCCATTTCTCTCTAACAAGTGTGATTATCCTGGCTTATGAGAAATACAAAATCAGGAGCTCTAAATGGATTTATGAGATTCTCCAGAAGAGAGAATAATGACACAATGGAAAGCAGGAACTGCCCGCGATTTCCATTCAAAGTAGTCAAATTTCAAATATTTTACTGGAAAAATAATCGTATATATTTCTTTAATTTAGGAGGTGTAAATTATTGATCACATCAAACTGTCCATATAATCTAATTTTAACAGATACATTTTCCCATGGGAAATATTTCAACATTCATAGAATGATTTTTAATACAATTACAATTTCACTCTTAAGAATATTAGTTTCTCTGTGACTCCTGTGTGGATGCAAGACCAAACGGCCAGCCCTATCTTCAGTTATCACTTTAGACCTTTACACTTCATTTACTGTTAATGAAGATTCGAAAAAAAAAGAAGTCATTTCTTAACATAAACTCAACTTCAATATAATTAACAAAGTAGTATTTATTCATAAAAATCTGTGAAAAAAAAACCTTAATAATCATAAGAAGTCTTTCTTTTCAGGGGTAACACTGCTTGGAAAAATTCCCAAATAACGTAAGGTATTCCTCCCAAGGTATCACAGCCAAAACTGAGTGTAGGGGAGTTCCTGAGAGGACATCCAGGGCATTCCGTCTTGCAGAAACTCCTGCTACAGCACTTAGAACAAGCAGCTTTCCAGAGTCTGCTTGAATACTTTCAGTGATTGTAAGGTGGGGTTTACTTTATCCATGTTCCAGCCTGTTCTACTGCAGGTGGAAAAGTTCCTGTTGATGAGTAGAAATCTATATGCTTAAGTTTTCGATCCACTGGGTATAGTTCTGGCATCCCTAAACACCTCCAATGCCAGTGCTTCGGTTCCCTAATCGGAAGTAGTGAGAACAGCATGGCAAGTCCCATGACTCTGTGACTCTCAGAGGGAAGGGAGGAGTGGAGACATGACAGAGCACTGGAAAAGGAGACGGAGGACAACCAAACATTTGGTTCACGTGGACACTTTACATCAGATTCAGTGACAAATATAAATATAATCCAAGAATACAAAAGATAACGTGTGTTTGAATGCATAGATATGGATCTATGTTTGTGCACCTGTGAGTATATAGTAGATGCATGTGTGTATAAATGTGTAGTGCATGTGTATGAGTGTGTGAGTATACGTACTTGTGTATATGTGTATATATATGTGAGTGTGTGTGTGTGTGTGTGTGCACACATACATATAAAATGCCAAGTCAGCTAACAGGAAGAATTTCAAACTATGTTCAATGAAGAAATGCAAACATGGGTTTTTAGGACATTGTTTTTTAACAAGGATATAAAATACACACAGCTGCTAAGCACAGCAGGAGTTGTTAACAGACAAGAGAGGATGAAAGGAATTCAGTAAATTTATATTATGGTAAAAATATGGTTATTTCAAAATATTTGAATAAATGTTACCTTATTATCTAGACACTTGCTATCAAGTAGGTGAAGAAGAAGTTCCCCATGAGTAAGTCAAAATCACCCAGATCAGTCTGTCAGGTCTCTTTCTGCAAGTTTCTGACAGGATTCTGAGCACGGAAGGTGGGCCAGCCACACTGCACCTTCCAGGGTGCGGTTCAGGACTGACCCGCAGTCCCTCTCTCTGCTCTGCCCGTCGCTAGGTCTCAGGGAACTGAAAAGCAGCAACCCCTCAACAAAGAGCCTACCAGCCTGGAGGGAAACACAGCCCCCCACTGGCAGAATCATTAAAGAGCTAAAATATGTTGATTAGGTTTCAAGACAAGGAAGAGCACAAACATACAGAAAAATTTTCTACAAACACAGAAACAAGAAAAAAGGGTTTGGGTAAATTGTCAGGATATCGAGTGAGTAGAACACAGTCCAGAATTAATCAAAATGTTACTGAATTGTATTCACCAAAAGAACAAAACGAATTAGGTAAAATGATAAACCTACATAACAGTTTATCATAAAATCAGAAAAAATTAACTGGATAATTTAATAAGTTTTTTTCTAAGTAATACCTAAACCAATTCCAAATTGTGTGCCCTGGTAAAACACAAAAATTATCCATTTTGATCCATGGGCCAAATCTGGCAAACCACTTGTTTTTTGTAAGTAGTTTTGTTGGAACATGGCTATGCTCATTCATTTGTTGTCTGTGTCTATTTTTATGCTATAACATCAGAGTTGAGAAGTTGTGACATAGCCTATTACGGCCCACAAAGCCTAAAATATTTACTGTCTGTTCCTTTACAGGAAAAGTTTGCAGACCCTTGTCCTGTACATATATATATAATCACGGATCTTAAAATATGCATGTAGGCCACATCGCTAAACCATGATAGTTTCAAGGAAGGAAAGAACTTTACTTTCTTTTTTAAAATTTCTATGTTTGTGCAGTTTGTTTTTTTAATTTTTAATTTTTTTATTGAAGTATAGTTGATTTACAATGTTTCAAGTGTACACCAAAGTGATTCAGTTTTATATATATATATATACACACACACATGTGTATTCTTTTTTTATTGGGTTATAGTCATTTTACAATGTTGTGTCAAATTCCAGTGTCGAGCACAATTTTTCAGTTATACATGAATGTACATATATTCATTGTCACTTTTTTTTTGCTGTGGGCTACCACAAGATCAGATTCTTTTCCATTAGAGGTTACTATAATATACTGAATATAGTTCCCTGTGCTATACAGTAAGTCCTTGTTGTTTATCTATTTTTATATACAGTGTTATGTATCTATTAATCCCAAATTCCAAATTTATCCCTCCCTCACTCTCCCTTTTGGTAAACATAAGTTTGTTTTCCATGTCTGTGAGTCTATTTCTGGTTTGCAAACAAAGAACTTTACTTTTTTTTCTATCATGCAGGTCCGTTGTTATAAACCATTACAAACCAACACCAAAAAAGACAGAGTTGCAAAAAAAGAAAGAAATGTTCCAAGTGTTGTGAGGGCATTTTACAGTTTGAGGAAATGAAACAATCAAAACAATTGTTTTGTTGGTTCTTCCTACCTGTTTTTCCTCTTCTTCATCTGAAGAGTTCCTGACATCATGGACATTTCTACTGGGCTGGAAATCTTTCAGCTTTTCTTGTATGGACCAGTTGTTCTTTTGGTCTGCTGCACCTTCCTCATCACTTTCCGGGTTATTTTTCCATTCTTTCATCATTTCTAACACATTGGTTGGTCTCGTCGAAGAAAGTGTATTGCCCTAATGTTCACAATGAATTTTTGGTGTTATAAACAGTTTAGAAAATTGAAAAGACTCTTACATCTTTTAGTAATATAGTCTCCCAAATTCAGTCAGTCACACAGAAAGATTGTAATGCTGAATAAATAGCAAAACTTCTGATGTCCTTTTGAGCAGACTCCCTGTACTGACATGGCTCAGACCTCTTCACTAATACACTTGTCAATATGTCAAAATTTAGGGGTGGCAGAATATTCAGGTTTGAAAAAACAGTGCAGCATGTTGTGGGAAAGAACACCAGATAGGGCAACTCCCTGGAATCCAAAGACCCCCTTACAGCGCAGTTCTTAGAAAATTAATAGGGAAGCTGAAAGGATGAAAGAAGTTGCCCCAAGTCTAGTGGGTCCAATGCTAAGGGTAACCCTATATAACATCAAAATGTCTAGGTAAAAATCCAGATTCAGTTGATTAGTCAAGTGTTATGCATCCAAGAATATAGATGTTGGACTTGAAAGCTTAGTTGACTGGAAAATTTAGATATAATGTGGTCATTTGATTATAACTGATTCCGTGCACTATTTTTATCTCAGATGTGAATATACCACACCAAAATTGACCATTTTATATTAATTATATTTTTCTCAAATGTAATATTCCATCTAATGTCAAGAAATGCATGAATGTGGTCTCAAATGGCTCCTGCTAGACGAGGTATGCCTTAAATATTTTTGCTCCTAACTCAGAATAGTAGAGTAAGTTTGGGCAAGAAGTTTGGATCACATTTACATTAAAATGGGAAGTTTGGGTGTGGACACAGCTATGGAGTGATTCTAATTAATTTCATATGCAGGTAGATCAAAGCATTAAGGACCAGTGATACAGAATACTATGAGACAGGGCAATTTAAGGGCAGCCGTCTAAGTACACTGTTGAGGGTTTGTAGGCTTTAATATATTAGCGATTAAAGACATGGATACACATTAAGTATGGATTAGTAATAACTAAATGAGGATCATTATGCTATTAATTCCCTATGGTTCTTTTATTTTATCCTGCTTTAAGAAGGTCTATATTCTTACCACTTTCATAGCATCCTACTCCTGGTGGCACTTATGCAACCTCTACCCATTTACTCACAGAATGCCCTTACCATGCCTTCTGCCAACTCATAGCATACATTTCCTTCAGGGCTCAAGTTAAGAGTCATCTCTGTCAAGTAGCCCAGAACTTCCAAAGATGTTGTCAACTTACTCTCAAACGATGCACAGATGAAGTTTCAGAGACCAAAAGGGAGCTGAAATTGTTTAGAACAGTGGACAGTCTCAGAGCTCTCATCTGAATGAGTTCTGAGCTCCAGGGCTCTGTCAACAGCCCTGCTTGATCCCAGTGATTCATCCAGCCTCTATGACAACTCCCTGGCTGCCTCTTGACCTTGAACCTAATCACAGTGGCCAGGCTTCTGGAATGATAGTACACACAGTTTTGCCTCAACTTGATTCTTATACTAGCAGACAGAGACAGTCTGACACATCTGTGTCTGTAATCCAACCCTCAACTGCCCTCTCCTGCGAAACTCTCCACAAGTTAACTCTTTGTAGCTGCAGGAGCCACTAATGCTCCTCACCCAACATTTCTTGCTTCTAGACATATGGTAGAATTCTGCTTCTCCACCTCTTTTGGGACATGACTGAATGACTTGTTTTGACCAGTGAAATGTGATTTGAAATGGTATGTATCACTTCTGGGTGGAAACTTTCTGAGATACATGCAATTTACCACATTCCCAATTCCTGCCTTAGTAACTATAGAAGTTTACAGATGGAGCCTCCCTCAGCCTGGGTCCCTGAATGAGGACCAAGTTAAATAGAGCTTGCTCCCCTCCTCCCAACCAATGTGCGATGGAAGGCATCAAGAACACTGAGTTTGGGAGTCATTTTTTTACCACAGCATAATCTAGCCTGTCCTGACACAGACAGCAGATTAAACATTTACATTCCATAAAGCCTTATAAAGAGTGAGCCCACTATACAATCAGTATACCCAACAGAATTGTAATACTACAGAAATTATATGGAATCAGCATTCTGTGATAGCCAATTTATTTAGGCAGTCTTTGCTTTGCACAGTCCTGATATATGTGAATTTCAGTCCTCATGACTTAGTTAAATGACATCAGTCCCTCGGCAACATGGTTCAAATTTTAGCCACCGTGGTATATTAACTATAATTGCATAAAGTTCAAACTTCACTGTGAGCTCATCAATTCACAAACACCATGTAATTTACAGATTTGCATCATGATCAGTGACCAATCATGCCACTTCTTTCACAGTCTACTGGTGACTGGACACCATCCATATACTATTCAGTTCACACATAAGACAGCAAAGTGTGCAGCTGTGTTGCCTCCTTGTCTCCCAGGAAATTTGCCCACAAAGATGAACGTGTAACAAAGAAATTAAAAGTGATAATACTGGAAGTAAAATTTGAATCATATGTAAATGGAGTAATAGAAGAAATATCGGACTATGGGAATGTTGACACTGTCACTGTGACAGAGTCCAGATGCACAACCAGTGATGCAAAACCACAACTTAGTGAAGACAAACTTATCAACACAAATGAGAAAGGAAGAAGATGCACCAGAGAAGATGACACCCACAAGAAACTTGACATTTAAAGTATTTTCAGAGATATTTCATGATGCTGAGAAGACAAAGGACACAATGTTGGAAGTTGATCCAAACTTGTAGGACAGTGACAATTTGCCAAGCATAAAAATGATGCTCTCCACTGTACCATAAGAAGGCAAGCACTGTTTAAACTAATCTCAGTAAGTTTTTAAACAAAACATGACACTTTAATTCCCAATATTTCTAATTTTTAAATTACAGTACATTAAAAATTAATTTTACTTTTGTTTCATTCCCTATATATATTTATAACCAACAGTTAGAGAGTTTTTAGTGCTTAACAAAAAATTTTAAAGGACATGAAACAATCATAATTTTTCCCATGGATTATTAAAATCACTTTGCACAGCTTCAACCTGCATTATTTTTGTGGTCCTGCAATACCATGCAAAGCAAGGATTATCTGTATTATCTTGAATCTGCATTTCTAGCAATCTTCCAAATGCTTGGTTCATGTATATATACACCAGAGAGCTTGTGACTGACACGCTACATGTCTAAAGTAAGGTGCCTCTGTACTCAAAGAAATGACCCTACTTCCTACTCCAAAGAGAATGTGGAGAAGAACAACACATCTAGAATGGGAGCATTATCCCCTCAAAAACACTCCACTATTTAGAAACTTTTAATTATTTGCTTCCTATATTCCCTTGTGTTATATTCCCATCAAACAGGGCACAAATGGTGGTATTGATTCCAGACTTTCTTTCCAGTTAATAAAGTCCAGCCAGTAACTTACTAGGTTACCCCTTCTTGCTTGCTAGCAGCTGGAGGAGGAATTGCATCAAATACTTGGACTGAACAATGAATAAGTGGCCCAGGGCTGTGTGTCATGAGCCTTCTAGGCTCAATAAAAATTACAAATGAATCAACCAACCCAACAAAAATGGGTGGAATTGTTGGGGCAGACGCTGGAGATTGTGTCACCTCACCAACCGAACACTAACCTCAGACCTCCCTTTACTTGCTGTATTTAGAGGGCAGACCCTGAACTCATCAACCATGAAGCAGCAAGGGCAAGAGGGCAGCAGTAACAGGCTGATAATCTGAGCTATTATAAGTAGAAAACCAACCTTTTGGGTAATAAATTTCCATTTGTTTAACTAACAGATAGTTTGAGACTATTTCATTTTGAAAAACTGGAAAAATGAACACTCATAGAGGAGAAGCACTGGTCAAATACTAAGATCTCGATTTAATACCTCAGTAGACATTTCCTACAAAGAGAGACCTAAACATACATCTTCATCTAACAAAATTTGCTTTTTCACGGACAGTGCCTATCAGTATTTTGTAAACAGTAGTATTTAATAAGTAATTTTTAATGAATGAATGACATGTATGAGTTGGGGTGAGATGGTATGAAAGGTAAAAATCAGCAAAGCTTAAAAGGAAACATTCTAGGGGTTAGGGATATGGCTCAGGTGGTAGAGTGCATGCTTAGCATGCACAAGGTCCTGGGTCCAATCCCCAGTACCTCCTGTAAAAATAAGTAAATAAATAAATAAACCTAATTATATCCCTCTCACCACCAAAAGAGAGGAAAAAAAAAAAAAGGAAACATTCTGAATCTTCAGCTAATAGTCATCATATTCTACTTTTTGTAAACAGCTAGAACTCTTTATTTTGTAAAGTGCTCAGGCATAAAATTTTTTCAATAGGAAAATGGAATAGCCACTTTATAAAAAAAATATAAAAGGATGCTCAACTTCAAGAAATTAATAAAATCCAAATCAAAACAATGAGTTGCCAATTATCACTTAACAGATGGACATAAATTTAACTTTGATAATATTCTGTGTTGGTGAGAGTGTGGGAAAACAGGCTTTCTCATTTAATTGCTTTTTATAGGAAGATAAATTAGCAATAAACTATAAAAATGTGTAATGCACATTCTCACAGACTAGTAATTCAACTTTTAAGAATATATCCTATAGATATGCTGACACAGTAGGCAAACATATATTTACAAGAACATTTGTTGCATCACTGTTTGTAATAGAAAAGATCTGAAACAATTTTAGTATTTCATATTCATAGGGACAAAATAATAGTGTATCCATAGTTTTGGATACAATGCTGTTTTTAAAAAAATAAAGAAAATCTTCCCAAAATATATTAGACAAAAAAATAGTTTGTATAATATAAATCCATTTGTGAAAAGTAGACACATAAAACATGTACAGAATGCATCTGAAAGAATACATAAGAGATTTAACAATGGTTATCTTCAGTAAGAGGGAATGAAGGAATAGAGGAAGAAAGTTATTTTTCCTGTTTTCTCATTTAAATCATTTACTAGAGGTAATCACAATTATTACATGACTA